TAAACTTATTTTCCCCACACCACAGCTGTCATGTTTTTAAATATTACCTATCTGATCTCATCGATCTCATTTCGCATCGGAAATGCGTCACAACGATCCAGGACTGACAGGTACAATATCGCATGACTCATTACTGTACATTAAAGCCCGTTTTCCACTAGGCGAATTTGTTCGCGCGAACAGATAAAAAGTAGGAAGCGATCCTACTTTTTCGCCGCGAATTTTTTCGCCGACCAATCACGTTGCCGGATTTCGGTTTTCGCTTCGCGTCGCGCGAAAAAATTCGCCTAGTGGAAAACGGCCTTAAAAGTACATATCCGGTTGGCAAAATGGCGATTGTCTGCAAGACCTTCGCGAAGGGCTTAATATTTTTGCTAATAAACTGTTCACGAGGGTTTCGTTCTGTTCGTCTTCTGGTTCGTCGTCAATCGTCATCGGCTGCCTCACTTCTTGGTCGCTTTCGTCCTCTTCAAAGCAAGTCGCCGGAGCAAACAGCGTTAGTATTTGCTGTCTTTCCAAGAGCTTCAACGTTGCTTTACAAACTGGGCTATCGCTGATGTTGGGCAGGATGCATTTGATGTGGAACGAAGGTCCACAACCACGGAAAACGTTCCAAGTGGATTAACCTTTTTGCAGGCAGGCAAATCGCAAATCGATGGAAATTTTAAAGGAAGATTTATATTTTATATTTACAGATCTTGATACATTTATAGTCAGTACGTCCTTGGAAATTGTTCCAAAATATGAGTGTGTACCAAAGTTAAAATATTACTCATAATCTCTAGAACATGTTTGAATGTTTTGAATCACTGCAGTTTAGAATTAGCAGTCCTTTAACTCTTTTAAAGACAACAGAACTGGCAGCCATGGCCAGCCAGTTCCAAATATCCAAAGAATAATTAATGACATTCTAAAAATTGTAAATATAGTTTTCTTTAGGGTCTGTAAATATAGTTTTCTTTATAATTGTAAATATAGTTTTCTTTAGCCCAGGGTCACTGTCCATTGCGAATCCCACTTCCACACTTGATTAGGTTCAGCAATTGAATTTCGCATGTGATTGCCCATTTGTAAAAATATGCCAAACTGGCTTGGGAAATAAACATTGCTGTAAGCTAATTATAGTCTGTATTAAAATATTCTATTAAACTCAACCAAGAATGTATTACATGTCCTGCAAAACTGTTGATATGTTTATCTCCTGAGAAATTTAATACCTTTTCGAGTTTACTATAATAGTTTGGGGCTTTTTAATTGGGGCTTCGGTGGCCAAGTGGTTAGTGCACTTGCCTGTCACCTCTGAGGCCGCAGGTTCAAGTCAGTGAGAACTTTCTCAATGCGACTCAAACCCAGTCCTCATGTGAAAAGAATAAACCGCAACGCTCTGCTGAACGTCACAGGTTTTCCCCGGGTACTCCAGTTTCCTCCCACATGGAAAGTTGACAGGGTGGGTTGGGTAAAAAGGGGCTCACAGTAATTTGCATATGCTGTTGTGGTGACCCGGCCCTATTTGGCATGCTAAATAGATAGATAGCTATAATTAGCTCACAGTAGTGTTTATTTCCCAAACAGGTTTGACATATTTTTACAAATGGCCAATCACATGCGAGATTCAAATTCTGAACCTATTCAAGTGTGGAAGTGGGATTTGCAATTGATATGATCAGAGGCTTTCCATTCTCACCTCTTGTTTCTTTTACCTTGCAAAGAACCAGGGTACACTTAAAAGTAACACACAGGCAGACCAAGTGCTGCAATTCAACTAAGGGCCTGTTTATATGCGGGAAGCCGGGCTGGCCTGCTTAGCGAGACAGGCAGGTGGGATGAATTTCTCTTGTGTTTATATGAGAAAATTTCATCCCGCTTGCTGGTTTTGACAGTTGTTAAAAATAGCTTGCGGCGGTATCTTTCATCCCAGCAACTGGGCTAGCCCGCTTGTGAGTGTTTATATGGAGAAATTTCCACTCCGGTAAGCGAGATCTCACCTCTTTTCAAGTGAGATCTCACCTCTTTTCAAGTGAGATCTCGGCAACCTGGCCAGCCCACTTGTCCATATAAACGCACAATAATTTTACTATAAAAATAACTACACAGCGAGATCTCGCTTACCGGGCTGTCTCACTTAGCGGGCCAACCCGGCTTCCATATAAACAGGACCTAAGTACCAGTCAATATAAGTCCCTGCTTGCTTGAATCTAGGAAGTGTGGGGTTCATGGGGCAAAGCAGGGCCACTGAGACAAAGCCAGACATTTATACAATCCAGCAATTTTGATTATGCAGTGCTGGGAAATAAAAACTGCCTACTTCTGGGTTGGGGGAGGTGGTAATTTACATTGTCTGATATTGTACACTGAATAGTTATGGGGTGCCATGGCTGCCAGTTCTGTTGTCTTTAAAACGACTGCTAATTCTAAACTGCAGTGATTCAAAACATTGTCCAAACATGTTCTGGAGATTATGAGTAATATTTTAACTTTGGCACACACTCATATTTTGGAACAATCACCAAAGGATGCTGACTATAAATGTATCAAGATCTGTAAATATAAAATATAAATCTTACCTGCGATTTACCTGCCTGCGAAAAGGTTAATCCACTTGGAACGTTTTCCGTGGTTGTGGACCTGCGTTCCACATCGAATGCATCCTGCCCAACATCAGCGACTGCCCAGTTTGTGAAGCAACAACGTTAGCAAATGTTGAAGCTCTTGGAAGGTCTTCGAAAGACAGCAAATATTATTAAACGCTGATTGCCCCGGCGACTTGCTTTGAAGAGGACGAAAGCGACCAAGAAAGTGAGGCAGCCGATGACGATTGACGACGAACCAGAAGACGAACAGAACGAAACCCTCGTGAACAGTTTATTAGCAAAAATATTAAGCCCTTCGCGAAGGTCTGTCAGACAATCGCCATTTTGCCAACCGGATATGTACTTTTAACGTACAGTAATGAGTCATGCGATATTGTACCTGTCAGTCCTGGATCGTTGTGACGCATTTCCGATGCGAAATGAGATCGATGAGATCAGATAGGTAATATTTAAAAACATGTCAGCTGTGGTGTGGGGAAAATAAGTTTAAACTGCCAAATCTACCAATTTTTTATGTGTGTGTAAAGATAGTGCAAGTGAGAGTCTGCTATTTTACGCGCGTCGAAACACTGTTATTCAAACATAAATATTTCGCGTTCTAGATCGAATTTTAAAAATCCCCCCGAGGAAATTAAAGAAGAAAGCATGCTTTATCAGAATTTGTCAGTTTTGGCGAAAAAGTTTAATATCGAATGTCACCGAGGGCGTAGAACAAGGTGTTATTTTCTCACTCCTTTTGTTTACATGTTTCGAATTTCAGGCATTCTGATTGGTCAAGAACGCAAAATGTAAACAAACGCGCTGATTGGCTAATATTATTTGCCCTTGTTGGTAGTAGTCAATGTAATACGACAAAAATTAAAGGCTTCTTAATCCTTCAAGGTCTTTTCGAATTTTTAACACTAAACTTTTCTAGGGGTGCACCAGAACCAATTTTTTAAGTTCCGGCCGGAACCGGATCTGGCCGGAACTGGAGAAAAGTTCTGGCCTGAAGTTCCGGCCGGAACCGGAACTGATTTATTAAGCCATACATAGTCATATGTTACTTTGTCCGCTGCCAGACAGGCAGACACTTCAAGTCATCAGGGAGAGAGCTCGCAAATGTTAGAATAAAAAGACGTCATAATAAAGTGTTAATGGTGTATATTTTCCTTGTGTAGTTCAAATTTCTTCCTACTGTGAATTTTTGTTAGACACAAAAACGTTTGATATTCTATCTCTCTGAAAATAACAGAGTTCCGGTTCTGGCCATGCTTTTTTTATTAGTTCCAGCCGGAACCGAAACTGTGAAAAATCGGGGTTCCGGCCAGAACCGAGTTCCGGTGCACCCCTAAAAGTTTCTCAAATAATGTACAGTAAACTGAAACGCCAAACTCTGACCTTCTTTTTCTATTTCTGGGGGTTGTTATATGCTAAATCAAGAGAAGATGAAGTGTTCTACTTACCAGCTGGCTTTGCTTGAGGCTGAACTTGAAGCTCTCCAGATTTCGCTTTCTCCAAAATTTCTTTCCTAGTTTCAACCTAATCAAGTAGAAATAAATCATGAGTTTCATAAAGACTGCTTTGAGATAATCTGTTTAATTTAAAAACAAATATAAAACTACCGACTCCAAATAGGCCGAATAGCATAAACGATCAATTTCTATTATTAAAATCCACATTTTGTAAATAGTTATATTTTAGTTTTCATTATTATAGATATATAGGTTAATTTTGTAAATAATTATTGTGTTAGTCTCTAAGCATGTAATATTTTTTGTAAGCACGGTCCTTTGAAAACAGACAACTGAAAGTTTGAATAATAATAATAATAATGATAATACTAAATTGAAAAGTATGACGTAGAAGCGCGGTTGCGCGAGGAGCGCGAGCTCAATCGCTCCGCATTTATTGCAAATTTTTACTGCTAATCCTGTGAAATTGAATCTGAATTTCTGTTGGATTCTTAATCAAAGACAGATCTACCTGGAATTAATAAAGTTTTGTGAATCGTGTACAGAACTGACTGGATTTTTGCGGATATATTTCATTGTTGCTACGATTTGAAAATAGATTTCAGAATTTTCGGTTGGAACCGTTAAGCTTACGTAAGCACGCGCACGCGACATCAGTTGCGTCAACGGAAAAACTTTCAAATTGGAATTAGAATTTTCAATTAACAACCTATTTAATTTGAATAATTGGATTCTTCGCGTTTTGGGGGAAGCTTGATTGAGAGATATCATCCAATGATTTTATCTACGAAAGCTTGTGAACATACGAACATGAATATCATCAAGATTTCTCCTTGTATCGTCCTTGTGATCCTCGTGTTTTGTGGACTAAACTTTTCCATTTTATCGAATGAGAGATGTCAATTTAATCACACGAAATGGTCTGACTTTTACGGCTCCAATTTGAAATTCGTAGCAACTCGCGCACGGAACAGTTGTGTTTGTTTTGTTCAAGCATACAAACTTAAACGGTTTCTTAAACGAAGAATCAAATATAATACAAAGTCATCTGCCACGTTTAATCCAGCGATAGTGATGTTAACAAGAAGCGGCGTAAATCTAGTTAATCCCGGTCCTGAACAACAACGCCAAAAAACTGTTAGTCTCAACGTCGTGCAAGAACCAGATGCGAAGTCTTCAAACTGCAACCGTCGTTTGCCTAAACACGAACTCTCGTTAGCGCATTTTAACTGTAGAAGTCTAATGGCTCATATTGACGAACTGAGATTAACTTTTCAGAATATCAATCCTTTATTTATTGGCATAACGGAGACATGGCTGGAAAGCTCTATTGCGGATTCGGAAATCGAACTACCTGGATTTTCCGTAAATCGCCTTGATCGGAAAGGAAACCGCAGGGGAGGAGGAGTCGCACTGTACTTATCAAGTAACGTGAAATACACCAGAAGAAAGGACTTAGAAGAAGATTTTGAAGTAATATGGGTTGAAATTAAACTGCAAAAAACAAAGTTTTTAATCGGATGTGTGTATCGGGCTCCAGATGAAACTCTCCGGATTTTCGATTACCTTGACGATGTTATGAGATATGCGACAAGAAATAAGCTAGAAGTCATTATTGTTGGTGATCTTAATTGTGATTGTTTAAACGCAACTTTAAAACAAACAGAGAGGCTGTTAAAATTTACAATGGTCAACGAACTTGAACAGTTGATAAATGAACCTACTCGCGTTACGTCCGCTACTAGTACTCTCATTGATGTCTTAATCACTTCAACGCCTAATTTGTTTAAGGACTCTGGAGTTATGGATATAACATTAAGTGACCATTACCCTATTTATGGTGTTATGTACGGTCCAGTAACCCACTCCAAGAAACATCGGATAATAACAACGCGTTCTTGGGATGACAACAAAGTGAATGCTTTTCTGGCTGATCTGAAACACGCTCCGTGGAGCCTGGTTGATTCTTTCGACAATGTGGACAGTATGTGTTCTGTATGGGAATCACTAATGAAATCCTTAATTGACCAACATTTCCCACTCACCCATGGCTTGATAGCACTACACTCAAGCTCATGAGAACACGTGATCAAATGCACAAAAAGGCAAAAAGATCAGGACTGTCTCAGGACTGGATCGAATACAGACGCCTTCGTAACAAAGTAACCGAAATAAACAGAAAGGCAAGAAAAGATTACTTCAGAAACAAGCTTGAAGAAAATCGTGGAAAGCCCAAAGCTTTCTGGGACACATTACGTCTGATCCTTCCATCCAAGAAAAACTGCAATGAAATTGAAAGGTTAGTGGTTGATGGTGAAGAGTTAAGTGACAAGCGTGACATTGCTAATTCTTTAAACGAATATTTTACAACAATTGCATCCTCGTTGTTAGCCAGTCACCAATCCCACGAGTACCTAGCAGCTCCACAGCAGGAAAACGACCCGGTCATTTCAACCAACACCTTTAAATTTCGTGTCTTGAATGAAGACGACGTTTTCAACGTCTTACAAACAATGGATATATCGAAAGCTACAGGAGCAGACAATATATCGGCTAAAGTCTTGAAGACCGCTGCTCCCTATATCAGCAAGGTTGTATCTAATATATTCAATGCATGCTATCAGTACGGTCGCTTTCCATCTTCGTGGAAAACGGCGAGAGTGACACCATTGTTTAAAGGCGGGTCCAAGACTGATCGTGACAACCGAAGGCCAATTTCCGTTCTGCCCTGCATATCAAAGGCGCAAGAAATGTTCGCCAATCTCGATCTACAAGAATTCGCAGCGGAGAATAATCTTATCGGTGACCATCAATTTGCGTACGCCAGAAACTCGTCAACTACAGCAGCACTTATTATTACCGTTGACTCGTGGAAATTTGCTATAGACAAAGGAGAGAAAGTTGTTTGCACCTTCCTAGACTTGAGAAAGGCGTTTGACATCATAGATCATGACATCTTGATAAGCAAACTATCGAAAAGCGGAGTGACTGGAAACGAACTGAAATGGTTCACGAGTTATCTACACGAAAGGAAGCAATATGTCTCGTGCGAAGGCGTAGAGTCGCAACGGCGTTTAATTACACACGGAGTTCCACAGGGTTCAGTCCTCGGCCCAACGCTATTTAACATCCATATAAACGGGATCGCTGATGCGTGCAAGGACAGTGAGGCGGCGTTGTACGCAGACGATACAGAAATCCATGCGAGCTCGAAAGACATTGACGTGGCGGAACAACGGGTCAACCAAGATCTTGAAAATATCGTAATGTGGTGGAATCAGAACGGCCTAATCAGTAATCACAAGAAGTGTGAGGCAATGCTGATTGGATCGAGGTACACTGTCAAGAATACCAGAGAGTTACAGATTATACTTGATGGAAACCCAATGAAACAGTCAGAATATTATAAGCACCTAGGTGTTTATATAGATAACTGCCTGACATGGAATAAACATATCACGTATATAAAATCAAGAGTTTATCCAAAACTTAAACTGCTTAACAGAATTTCACATTTTCTTAGCCGCAATGTTTTGCTAAAGATCTACAAGCAAACTGTGCTTCCCCTGTTAGATTACGGATGCGTCGTATGGGCTGAATGCGGAAAGAGAAACGTCCAAAGCTTAGAACGACTACAAAATCAAGCGATGCGGATAGTGTTACACGCGAACCGTAAGACATGTACTCAGGAGATGCGTGCTAAATTACACCTTTTGTCACTGTACGGAAGACGTCGTCTTATAAGATTGCAATACGTTTATAAGATCGTAAACAACATAAACTGCCCGAAGCAGTTGATAGGCTATCTAGTAAGACGATCACAAATGCACTGTCGATCTCTTAGAGATCCAACATTGCTAGATTTACCGCCAGTAAGAACTAGATGTGGCGAGACCTCATTCAGATTCTCGGCTGCCAAAGATTGGAATTCTCTACCAACAGAAATACGAGAATTAAAAACACTTGTGCGGTTCAAGAATGAAGTGTTTAAACACTTGATAAACATGGATGCTGTTTCGCACAATTGTAGTTTGTAATTTTAGACATCTTAAGGCCTGTTGACACTTGCAATTTTTGCTGCGATTTTGGGTGCGGTCTTTTTCTCTTGGTGGGTGTGAGGGGGTGGATGAGTTGTGAATGTTTAGATGAAGGTACATGTACTCAGAATATTCATTGCTCATCTGCTCGTTCGCATGCATCGGGGGAGGAGTGTCGCGCCTGGAATCGCAGCGGAGGTTGCAGGTGTAAACAGTGTTTACATTATATAGCCTTATTTATGCACTGTTACGCACTTATGTTATTGTATATATACTTGTTATACACTGATCACCGATTGATACCAGCCAATCTATGTAATTGACTGAACGGTCTTTTTTATCAGTATAAATAAAGATTTTATTATTATTATTATTATTATTATTATTATATATATATATATATATATATATATATACTATATATATACTATATATACTATATATACTATATATACTATATATACATATATACATATATACATATACATATATACATGTACATATACATATACATATATAGTATATATATATAGTATATGTAGTATATATATATAGTATATATAGTATATATATATAGTATATATAGTATATATATATAGTATATATAGTATATATATATATAGTATATATAGTATATA